ATTTCACATTGTTTTCTAATTTTTCATTCTTTTGGATTTGTTTACAGTGTCTTGATTTCTCACAAAGTCACTAGCTTCCAATTGCTCTATTCTAATTTTTAAGGAAGTATTTTCTTCAGTAATCTTTTGGACTTCCTTTTCCATTTGGCCAATTTTGCTTTTTAGGGCATTCTTCTCCTCATTGGCTTTTTGGACCTCTTTTGCCATTTGGGTTAGGCTATTTTTTAAGGTGTTATTTTGTTCAGTATTTTTTTGGATCTCCTTTAGCAAGCTGTTGACTTCTTTTTCATGATTTTCTTGTATCACTCTCATTTCTCTTCTCAGTTTTTCCTCTACTTCTCTTACTTGCTTCTCAAAATCCCTTTTGAGCTCTTCCAAGGCCTGGGACTGATTCATATTTTTCTTGGAGGCTTTGGAGGTAGGAGCTTTGACTTTGTTATCTTCTTCTGGTTGTATGTTTTGATCTTCTTTGTCACCAAAGTAAGATAATATAGTCTGACACTTTTTGCGCTGCTTGCTCATGATCCCGGCCAATTACTTGAGTTAAGATAAGACTCTGCTTCCAATATGGAGAATGTATTGTCCCAAGCTTCGAGGGTTTATACAGCTGTTTTCAGAGATACTTGTAGGGACCTGTAAATTTTCAGTTCTTGCAAGGTGGTATGATAAGGGGCAAGGTGTTTACTCCTTTCCTGGCCTGTGACCACAAGCACTCCTTTCTGTCCTGGAACTGTGAGGAAGGTTTCCTCTTCACTGCCACTACAAGCTCCACCCGGCCAGCACTCCTCCTCGCCCCAGAACCGCTGCCCTGAACTGTGACCCAGATCCAAGCACGGGCAAAGCAAGTGATTCGTGCCTCAGCACTGGCAAAGAGATCCCTGCAATCCCCTGTTATCAGCCACTCGATTCCCCCTCGGTCTGTGGGTGGGAAGCTCAGGACTCAGCCATTGTCCCTGCACCCTCGCTCTGTGCTCTGGAACTGGCTCTAACCTAGCTCCTCTCTCACCATAGAAACAGACTTTTCCCACTGACCTTCTAAGTTGTCTTTGGTGTTTGTGGATTGAGAGGTCTGGAAGCCGCCACAGCTGCCCATGATTCAGTCCTCTGAGGCCTGCTCCAGGTTCGTTGGGGCCTATGTGGCCATGCCATACTGTGCTCCTCTCCCAGCCTGGCAAGATATACCTTTGTGATCAATCATCCAGATTGTCTTGGGCTGAAAATTTGGTTCACTCCGTCTTTTTGTGGGTTCTGCTGCTTTAGAATTTGTTTAGAACCATTTTTTATAGGTATTTGGAGGGGTTTGGGGGAGAGCTCAAGCAAGTCACTGCTTTCACTCCACCATCTTGGCTCCACCTCCCTCCAGGTTTTTCTGAGAACAGCCTGTTCTTCATTTTTTATAGCACAATAGTATTCCATCACAATCACATACAACAACTTGTTCAGCCATTCCACAATTGATGGACAATTCTCCTCAATGTCCAGTTCTTTGCCACAATGAGAAGAGTTACTATGACTATTTTTGTGTATATAGGTCCTTTTCCTTTTTGTTTTTTTATCTCTTTGGTATACAGACCTAGTAGTAGTATTGCTTGGTCAAAAGGTATGCATGCCTTTATAGCCCTTTGGGCATAGTTCCAAATTTCTCTCCAGAATGGTTGAATACAATTTTACCAACAGTGCATTAGTGGTTTAATCCCACAACCCCTCCAACATTTGTCATTTTCCTTTTCTGTCATATTAGCCAATCTGATAGTGTGTAGTAATAGCTCAGGGTTGTTTTAATTTGCATTTCTCTAATCAATAGTGATTTAGAGCATTTGTCATATTACTATAGATAGCTTTGATTTCTTCTTTTGAAATCTGCCTATTCATACCCTTTGCCCGTTTATCAATTTGAGAATGGCTCTTATTTCTATAAATTTGACTCCGTTTTCTATATATTTGAGAAATGAGGTCTTTGTCAAAGAAACTTGCTATAAATTTTTTTCATGGTAATGATTACTGTGTATTTCCCTCCATCCTATTTCCCCCCTATTTATCCTCTTCTCTCTCTCTTTTCACCTTGTCCATTCTCAAAAGTCATTTTGATTCTGACTTTACCTCCTTCAATCTTCCCTCCTTTCTATCAGCACTGCCCTCTCTCTTACTCTCTTCCCCTCCTACTTTCCTAAATGGTAAGACAGAGTTCTACATGTGAGTGTGCATGTTATTACCTGCCCCAACTCCCCCAGCTTCCCCTCCACTATAAAATCTCTTTTGTCAGACAATTTACCCCATTCTACCACTTCCTTTCTTCTTCTCTCAGTGCATTCTTCTTTCTCACATCTTTATTTTTTTTAAGATAATCATTCTATCATATTCAATTCATACCCATTCCCTCTTGTCTATGTATATACTCTTTCTAACTGCCCTAATAATGCAAAAGTTTTTAGGAGTTACAAGTATCATTTTCCTAGGAATGTAGGAATGGAAACTTTATTGAATCCCTTACCATTTCTCTTTCCTGTTTACCTTTTGCTTCTTTTGAGTCTTGTATTTGAAAGTCAAATTTTCTATTCAGTTCTGGTCTTTTGATCAGGAATGCTTGAAAGTCATCTATTTAATTGAATATACATCACTCCCCCCCCCACCAAAGATTATACTCAGTTTTGCTGGGTAGGTGGATTCTTGGTTGTAATTCTAGCTCTTTGGCCCTCAGGAATATTATATTCTAAGCCCTCCAATCTTTTAATGTAGAAGCTCTAAATCTTGTGTTATCCTGACTATGGCTCCACAATATTTGAATTATTTCTTTTTGGCTGCTTGCAATATTTTCTTGACTGGGAGCTCTGGAATTTGGCTACTAAAAACTCCTTGGAGTTTTTATTTTGGAATCTCTTTCAGGAGGTGATTGGTGGACTCTTAATTTTTATTTTACCCTCTAGTTCTAGAATATCAGGGCAATTTTCCTTGATGATTTCTTGAAAAATGATGTCTGGGCTCTTTTTTTTTTAATCATAGCTTTTGAGTAGTATGATAATTTTGAAATTATTTGTCCTGGATCTATTTTCCAGGTCAGTTGTTTTTACAAAGATATATTTCACATTTTCTTCTATCTTTTCATTCTTTTGATTTTGTTTTATTGTTTCTTGGTGTCTCATGGAGTCATTATCTTCCATTTGCCCAAATCTAATTTTTAATGAATTACTTTCTTCAGTGAGCATTTGTACCTCCTTTTCCATTTGATTAATTCCACTTTTTAAGGAGTCCTTTCCTTTGGTGGATTTTTGTAGTGGATTTTGTGCAACAAATCTTTCCTGACAACCTTGTAAGTTGTCTTAGGCTGGAAAATTGTTTCGTTCTCTCCTTTTGTGGGTTTTGCTGCTCTAGAATTTATTCTGAGGAATTATTTAAAGAAGTTTTGGGGTGTTTGAGGGAGAGTTCAGGAGCGGTCATGGCTTTTCTCTGCCATCTTGGCCAAGGATGTCTCTTCCATTTGTGTTCTTAATCATATTTGATCTCTCTGCAGCAGTTAATGTTGTTGATTAAAATCCCACCCCATCCCCCTTTCTATAAACTTTCTTGAATTTTGACTTCACTTAGATTATGTAATTTTGTAGTGGACCCAGTCAATACAATTTCATGGTTTTCTTCGACTTCTCTTTGGCTGCACATGAGTAGGAGCAAAGCCAGCAAATGGCAAGAATCATCTAAGAAGACTTGACTGAGCAAGATCTTTGATAGAAAAAAGAAACAAAGTACTTGAGAGAAGTCTGTGTAGAGCTGAACCGATTCACCAAGGGGCCAAAATGGGGAAGGAAAGAGAGTATAGCCATTGTAAAAGCTGCAGTTGTAGTTTGTCCTTCATTGTGAGGACTAGCACCCTTAGTGTGAGGGCTTGCTGAGTGAGCCCTTTTCAGGGCTGCTCATCCACCTTTGGTGTCCACATTTCACTCAACTCTTACCTGAGGCATTGTAAGAGTGATAGCTTGGGAAAGAACTGAAGGGTGGCAGGATTGCTGGCGGGATTATCTTGAGCATAATGAACAGGGTTAGGGTATACAAAGCAGACAGAGAGTGGAATAATAACAAATTCTGATCACACAAATGAATTGCGGAGTTCATGAACATAGAAGTGGAACACTTATGGATCATGGCAAGATCAAGGATGTGATTTTCTCTGTGTGCAGCTGAAGTGGGGTGGAGGAGTAGGGATATTAGCAAGTTGATGAACTTTGAAGTTAGAGCATATGAGGGAGTATCAGTTTCTTCAAGGATCTGCAATACTCTACAGGGTCGTTGTGAGGGTCAAACGAGCTTTTCCTGAGCCCCTTGTGGTTAGTGCTTTCTCCCTCATCCAATTACCTATTTAACCACTAGAGTGTGCTGATGACCAGTCCCTGATCTTATTTAATAGCAATGGGGAATGCTGTCAAATATTCCACTCTAGCTACTATGCACACCACCCAACACCAGAGGGCCATCTGAGGTAATTGCCAGAGTCTCTCAGCTGGCTACCTCTCCTGCCTTATCTCTGCCCCTTTTGAGGGTGGCAGCAAGTCTCCTTGGTTTCAGGGATTCCTAACTTTTTTGTGTGTCAGGGACCCTTTTGGCAGTCTGGTGAAGCCTATAGACCCCTTTTCTGACTAATGTTTATAAATATATAAAATACAATTTGTGGTATTTCAAAGGAAACCAATTATATTGAAATTAAGTTATCAAGTAGATATACATATATGTGTGTATATATATGTGTATGTGTGTGTGTACCCCCAGTTCATAGACCCCAGGTTGAGAAACCTAGGTTTAATAAGGCTTTGTGTATATATTTACCTAATCAGCCTCTTGGTTCAGTTCCTTCCCCCTCTCACCCAAATTCGGCCATTCCCATCTCTGCTGCATTAAGAAAGAGATTATTCACAAACACATAACTCTTAACATAGGTTTATGCATATTATTCACACTATTAGGAATAAAACAAATACATTAACTTATTCAGTAAATGCATCCTTTGTCAACAGGCAAGCCAAAACCCGAAAATTTGGTCCTGTCACCATCTCCTCTCATGGGAAGTAGCAGATGTCCACTCAGAGGGCTTTTCCATCCATGACATCACCTCTCAGAAAATATCCAGCCAGGGTGTGTATGTGTGCCAGGATTGTGTGTGGGGGGGGTGACTCTAGACCTCAAAGCCCTTTGGTTGGGCTCTCTTCTGTGGTTTACACTCAGCCTTGACAGGAGTCTTAATCAGATGCCGATTTGTTCCTCCAGGCAGCCCTTTGTCTGCCTCTAGTCTTGAGAAAAACCTGATTCCATAGACTCTGTTAGAGGTTTCTACTCAGGCCTCAGAGTACTTAGAGTCCTCAGCTTTTCCTCAGTTTTTCAGCTTATCTTCCCAGTACTTCATAAATGCTTTTTCATTCATTCACTTCTTCATCAGTGTGGTTGAAAACACTCAAGTTGTGGTTCTCCCTAAGGATGATGAGGTATAGTTCTAAATTTCTTGATTCTTGCCAATGACACATGTCCTAAGTAGTCTGCTTTTGCAGAGTAGATGTTTCTACAAATATATTTCACCTTGGTGCAGAGTTACAGCTCTAGAAATCCTGGCAAGGTGAAATAGATTATTGGTAGTGCAGGGAGCTGCACATAGGAGTAAAGCTCCCTAAGTTTCCTACTTCTTCTCCATCTGTTCTGAAAAGAGATTCCTAATGTGTATGGACTGATGTAGTGTGAAGTGAGCATAACCTGGGAAACCAAACTGTTTAACATCAACATTGTAAAAATGAATAATCTTAAAAAACTAGCCATGATTTCAGAGGACCAATAATAAAGAATGCTACTTACTTCCTGAAAGAAAGAGAACATACAAAATGAGATGCGTATTTTTGGACAAGGACAATGCGAGAATTTATTTTGCTTGACTATGCTTATTTGTTACAAAATCTTCTCCTCCTCCTCCTTCTCCTCTTCTTCCTCCTCCTTCGTGTGTAGGAAGTGAGAGGGAGAAAAAATAAATGCTTAATGATTTTTTAACACACAGAGATGGACACAGACAGACAGAGACAGAGAGAGAGAGAGAGAGAGAGAGAGAGAGAGAGAGAGAGAGAGAGAGAGAGAGAGAGAGAGAGAGAGAGAGAGAGAGAACACTGCTTGCCCATCCAGTGGTTAAGAGCAGAGAAAATAAGCCTGAGAGCTTTTGGTGGGGTAGGCAGTTGACAGTTACTCCCTTTTCTCTGCTGCTGCTCCCAATAAGCCCCCTTGCAGCCTGAGCTGGGAGCAAGGAGGACAAGACAACCAAATCCTGGAGAGCTTCAGTGGATGAAGTGGAAACTCTAGGGCAGAGATGAGCCCGAGGCATTGGTTGTGGTGCTGGTGGTGGTGGTGAGACAGACCATCAGAGAGACAAAGACAGAATTGCACTGGATTGGCTGCTGTTAGGAAGCCCCAGATGCTAGTGGGAAGAGGCCAGGAGACAAATCCCAGCTTCTGGTGAAGAGCTGATTCCCTCAGGTTCCAAATACACAACCTTTCCCCTTAATCTTTTCCCTAGATCTACAGGCCAGGAGGGGTTTGGGAGGAGGATTAAGTGATCTAAGAGAGGAGAGTGCTTGATGGTTGCTTAGCATTTTAATTTACTGTGTTTTAACAAATCATGTGGCTACATGTGACTATATGTGTAATATAAATTTAGACAACTGATCAGATTGAAGGAAATTTCCAAAACATAGGGTGAGGGCAGAACCAAATCAAACTTTTCAAGCCCCTAAATAATTTTTTTTAATTGGAATCAGCACCTGCTACCACACAGAGCCTTCCAACTTCACTGTAGTTGGAGGGGGAGGTAGGCTAAGTATTTTCAAGCAAACTCCGTACCTTTGTCAGTAGGCACTGACTAAAACCCAAGAGTTCTCAGCCACTCCCATGGGGATCTACCAAGCATCCACTCCCAGGGCCTTTCTATTCATGGTATAAGTCAACCAGTCCTCAAGCAATTATTAAGTTCCTACTACATGCCGCGTACTATGCTGAAGACACAGAGAAAGGCAAAAATAGTCTCTGCTCTCACAATCTCACAATCTGCTCACAATCTGCTGGGGGAGACAACATGTAGACAACTATGTACAAAGCAGATATGCACTGGATAAATTGGAGATGATCTTAGAGGGAAGGCACCAGTATTGAGGAGGACTGGGAAAAGCTCCTTGCAGAAGGAGGAAGTTTAGCCAAGACTTGAAGAAAGCCCAGAAACCAAGAGGCAGAGATGAAGAGGGAGAAAATCCCAGGCATTTGGGATAACCAGAGAAAATGCATGGAAGTCAAGAGACACAGTAGTGTGTGTGTGTGTGTGTGTGTGTGTGTGTGTGTGTGTGTGCCTGCATGCATGTGTGTGCAATGATCTCACAGTAGTGTGTGTGTGCCTGCATGCATGTGTGTGCAATGACCTCACAGTAGTGTGTATGTGTGTGTGTGTGTGTGTATGTGTGTGTGTGTGCGCCTGCATGCATGTGTGTGCAATGACCTCCCAAAAGGTCAGTGTTTAGCTAGTGAAGGAACATAGTTATGCTGGAACTCAGAGTCTTTTAGGTGGTTGATGTTTCCTTTCCTTTTTTTTTTTTTAAATGAGGTGATTGGGGTTAAGTGACTTGCCCAGAGTCACACAGCTAGTAAGTGTTATGTGTCTGAGGCTGGATTTGAACTCAGGTCCTAAGGATGGTACTATATCCACTGCGCACCTAGCTGCCCCTTGGTTAATGTGTCTTAAAGTGATTCCTGCCTCTGGGTGTCTGTCTGTACTCTGGACTCCATTCTCTATACTTTCACCATTTACCCCTGGGCCGGGCTCGTAGAGTTTGGGGTATCACTATTAAAGTCTTATTGCAGAAAAATGGATGGAGGGGCAAGAAGCAGGCTGGCTCTATGCTAACCAACATTTTATGTCTGTTTCCATTAATCTTCACAAAAGTTTGCACTGTCTTGCCCAATCTAATGTTAGCATATCCACATCCTTCCCTTTAGTGTGTCCCTGCTAATGCAAAAGTCTTCCTACAGATTCACTCTCCTTTTCCTCATTACCAGCCTCCTCTTGTTTTTCATATGTGGAGCCAGAGGCCAGTGTCCAAATATGTTCAAGAAGAATGAGGAGTAAGGGGCAGCTAGGTGGTGCAGTGGATAGAACACCAGCCCTGAAGTCAGGAGGACCTGAGTTCAAATCCAGCCTCAGACCAAACACTTGGCACTTACTAGCTGTGTGACCCTGGGCAAGTCACTTAACCCCAATTGTCCAACAAATAAGAAGAGTGAGGAGTAGGAGAAAGGGCAGAGAAATGAGGAGTATAAGACTCTTTTGAGGGATTCATTATTTGCAGTAAGATTCATTTATTTATACTAATTGAGACCTAACTCTATTTCTTATTGTATTTATTTAGTTGTCTGACTGTTGTATTTCTCCCCCCAGTAGAATGTAGGCTCCTTGAAGTCAAGACTATTTTCTGCTTTGTCTTTTTATTTCTAGTGGGTAAAATAGTACTTTGTACATATGAGGCACTTAATGAATGCTTATTGAATGGATGAATGATGTGTGCATGGTGCTTTGAGTGAAGTGTTATATACGGCATCAACAAACATTTATTAAGTACTATGTACCAAGCACTGTTCCAGGTACTAGGAACACAAACACAAAGAATATAAGCATAAAACTACCCTCAGGGAGCTTATAGTCTGATGGGAGAGACCACAAGTACACATATAAGTACATGCAACATAAATATAGAGGCATATAGCAAGGCTTTTCAACATCAGGTAAGGGAGGGAGGGCACTAGGAGTTGGGAGGGGTCAAGAAAGGTTCAGATCTTTATCTTACGCAGAGCTATAACTGATGTTCTTGTTTAGTTATGTCCAAATCTCTGTGACACCATGAACTTTGTCCTTGGGGTGTTCTTGGCAAAGATACTGGAGTGGTCCGCCATTTCTTTTTCCAGTGTGTCTCCTTTGTACAGATAAGTAACTGAGGCAAATAGGGGTTAAATGGCTTGCCCAGGGTTACACAGCTAGTAAGTGTCTGAGGCCATATTTGAACTCAGATCATCCTGACTCCAGGCCCTCTATTCACTGTGCCACCTAGCTGCCTGGAACTATAACTAGGGCAAGACAACTGGGAGCTTGGCTTGGGGCACTGAAATTTAGAGAGCACTGATAGCACCTGGACTCCTTCAGCAATTAGAAACAATTGAGCTTAGCTCCTGGATAGCAAGAATAGGGAAAGGAACTGGACCTGCAATTTCATTGATGTGGGTGACTCCATTCATGAGAAAATGCCTTTCTTTGCTACATATAGTTTTACAGAGTTTCCCGGAGCATTGAGAGGTTAACTGATTAGCCCAAGGTCACACTGCCAATATGTATCAGAAGTGGGATTTGACCCCAGGTCTTCCTAGTTCTGAGGTCTCCTTTTTATCCTTTTTGGCAAGAATAGTTACTTAAAATAGGTAACTACCAGATGACTGGCTTTCCTTTCCTCCAGCTCCTGTTCCAGATGTACCCCAAGGTGAACTTTTCTTTCAGGCTCTTTTCTCTCCTTTCTTAGGACAGTGTCACAGAGTCTCTCCCCTAATGTGCTGCCATGTCCTAAGGTCCAAGGTTTCTCAACTTTCACTTTCCACCAGCTGAATTTGTCTAAATTTGTTTGTTTTGACATTTAAAAGGGTTTTTTTTATGATGCTTGCCTTGAGCACTAAAATTATAAGTCCCTGCTCTGATCTGACTTAACTTCATCCACAACTGTTTGCCAGATATTTGCACATTGTCTAAACCAGCCTACTAAATGCAACATGTTCAAAGCCAGACTCATTATGTTTCCTGCAAAAAACCTGATCCTCTTTTTCTAACTTTCTAGTTTTTGTGGATGGCAGTACCATTCACTAATCAGAGGCTGTAAATTTCAGTCATTTTGATGATTCTCTAATTCAATCAAGGCCTAGTTATTCAATTTATTTCAACAAGTCTTTGTTATATGTGCCAAGCACTGTACTTGTGTAACATCTCTCAAATCTGACCTTTTACCTGGACCATTACAATAGCCTAACCCACATCCCCACCTACAATTAATCTCTCCCTCTTCCAATTCAATTTACATCTA